AAAAGTGGGTGAAGGGAGACATCTGACAGTGTAAGACATGACAAAATAATAATAATTTATAAATTATCAAGGGTTCATGAGGGAGGGAGGGTGGGTGAGGGAAAGGGAAAAATGAGGAGCTGATGCCAAGGGCTCAAATAGAAAGCAAATGTTTTGAGAATGATGATGGCAACACATGTACTAATGTGCTTGACACAATGGATGGATGGATGGATTGTGATAAGAGTTGCACGAGCCCCCAATAAAATGATGTTTTAAAAATCACTACAAAAAATAATAATAAGGCAAGAAATATCCAAATAGATGATGTAAGGACATTTTCCAAGAAACGAAAACTGACTTGGCAGGTGAATGACCACCAGCAGAGTAGATAATAGGCACTCTGGTTTCTTTACCTCCATTAAACTGGAAACCTCTTGACTGTTGCAATGCTCTTACCCTCTTAATCTCTCTGTGTTCCACTTACACAAAGAAATACTCAGAGGATGCTGACTGAATCTCATCCCTGTTATTCTGGATGAGGAAACTGTCCATGCCCATACAGCTAAAACCCGGCTGATCTGGGGCTCCGGCCTAGTCTGTCAGACTCCAAACTGGGTACTTGGGCAAGACCAGCAACATAAGGCCACCCCCATTCCTATGTGCTCTGCAGTGCTGGCCTTTGGGAGGCCACATAGCCCTACATGTCCCCATTGACTGAAGGGCAGTTGCTGATCACTGAGTGCTGCTAACCGCGGTAGCTCTTCTGATGGTGTGGTAGGGAGACATGCAGGGTGCGGACAAGCCAAAAAGGCAGCGGCAAGCATCCCTGAGAAGAGTACTACTTACTTGGGGCACCATGAGGAGCCAATGACACTACTAGCTGGCACACATGACTGTCCCTGCCAAGCCGGTGACTCCCAATAACCTGTTTCTCGCCTAGAGCCAGCGAATAACGCATATCTGTTTTTCAAATTAGCAATGGATGTGTGGGTGGTGGTGGGTGGATGGATGGATTAGTGAATGAAGGGTTGGATGAATGGATGGATGAATGGATGGATAGATGGATGGATGGATGGATGGGTGAATAAGTGGGTGAGTGGATAGATATATGGGTGGATAAATAGATGGATGGATGGGTAGATGACTGGATGGAGTGATGGATGTTGACGGATAAAATAAGAGGTAAGGGGTTTGGAAATAGGCCTTGATTAAAATCCTGAATCTCCCCTGTCTACAGTAGAGCAGGGTAGGGTGTGTCATATCTCTAAGCAAGAATTCTCTGAGAGGCCTCTGGGAGTTGTCGTCATGATTAAATGATGCATATAAAGTACTGAGTCCAGCAGTGCCTGGCCCATAGTAAGTGCCCAAGAAACTGAAGCTGTTATCCACTTTGCTGACCAGAGAGGAAAGGGTAATGTGCTTATTGGGAGAGATATAATAGAAGCCTGTAGTTGGCTGCCTTGTAATTATTTCCCCCTTTAAGTCATGTGCCAATCAGCATATCCCATTCTCTCAGGCCCCTGGGATGGGTTCAAGTTCGTGTGTGAGGCTGAAGTTAGTCTAATCAGAGTATTTGCTGGGAGGTCGAGGACACAGGCACTTTCTTCCTAACTTTAGGCACCAGAAGGCCCGGAGTCCTGAGAGGCTGGCAGTTCCTTGGGAATGCCAGCTTACCAAGGAAGTTGCGTTACAGAAGGAAAGTGGAGCGACAGTAAGAAACACTGTTGAGCTGCCGGGTCGAACCTCACCTGAAGTTGGTGATCCCTGAATTTTTCCACTATATGAACCAATTTAATTTGTACTATGTGTATGGCCAATCCAAACCAGATTGTCTGATATCAGCCACCAAAAGCATCCTGATAGGAAAATGAGTTTGAATGGAATGTTTAAGGAAAACCAGTCAACAATTGTTGGGTGATACAAAATTCCAGAAAGCTGTGGTGCCAGAAATGGGGGCTAAGTTGTTTTCAACTATTATTTTCCATTTGCCAAATAAAGCGATGGAGGTGCCAGCTTAACGCTAAGTAAAACTTATGTAACTTGTTTAAGGTCATACAGGTTAGTTAAGCATGGGGCTGGGCTAGAAACCAACACCTTCTGACTCCTGACTCTCCACTCAGTGCTCTTTCCCCCCTACCACCTGCCACTGAGAAACATACCCCATCCAAGGGCAACAAATCCCTGGAGGCACTTCCTTTCGGAGAAAAAGGAGATGACCAGGATCGTGTGGAGGTAGAGGCCTTCCACCAGCAGCCAGGTGTAGTTGGCCATGATGCAGTACTGGAAGAAGACCATGACCAGCTTGCAGCCCACCTGACAGAGAAAGGTTCGTTAACTCCAGGAGGCTCCCTCTGGTGGCCACTCCCAAGAGCACCTCAGGGCAGCAGGTTCAATAAAATGACCCATGGACTACAGCAGAACAGGGACTGGGACAGGGTTCAAATCCTGAATTGTCTGCCAAGCGAGGAAAAGTAAAATGCCTCTTCAATTGCAGAACTATGTTAGAAACTGCTGAACACCCTCCGCTCACCTTTTAGACGAGGAAACTAGAGCCAGGCCCGAGAGGGGCAGGGACTTCTGAGCAAAGGTTTAACAAAACTCGGAGCTTGGGCTCCCTGGAAACAGATGAAGAACGGGCATACCAACTGTGATAGGAGGCAACAGTGTGGTAACAATGGCCCCTGACTAAAATAATCTAGCCTGGAGAACTGTCCATCCTGATACCATCATTCTGGACTTCCAGTGTGGTGACCCTTGAAATACACATGTCCCTTGCAGAAAGTGCTGGAGGCTATTGACTACAAGATGGTAGCAAGGGCACTTGTTTCCTGTGGGGCATGAGGCTTCTATGCTACCCTGGCTCCCTCACCCACCCTGGGTGGGATCCTCTTTGAGCTGCTCCACGATGCTGCCAGGACACCCCTTTGGAAGAGGGGACTGTGCCTGTGGGCCAGAGGGGGCTCTTGCCCTCAGGTTTCTGGGCACTCGGACTCCAGATGTGGCTCATGACCAGTGTGTGACTCTAAACGCTTAGTTGGATCTAGAGGTTTCCAGATTGGTGGGCATCAATGGACTTGCCCACAGCTGGTCAGGGAAGGAATGGGGCTGGAACTGAAGTTTCTTAGTTTCTCATTGAGAGCTCTTCTGTCTCCTAGAGACTTCTGTGAGAGTCATGGGCCCTGTCTTGAGTGACTTCTCACTCTAGAGTTAAAAATAACGCACGTGACAAACTAGGGACAACACAAAGAGTTGGCATCAACCCGATGGAAGCGAGTTCGGGGAGGACGGGACTCCACACGTGAGTAGTAGGACGTGGCGGGCACTGCGGGCAGGCGGAGCCAACCTCCACGTCTAATCCCTTCTCCCTCGTTTGCCACCGCTCTGGAGACTTGAAAAATAAAAGCCCCGTGTCCTCACTTCCCTTGTAGTGAAGTTGTAGCCAATGACATGCAAGCAGAAGTCCCCGGGGAGGGTGTCACTTCCTGAATGAAAAAGCAAATCTTCCTAAAGAGGAAAAGAACAAAAAAAGCTTGCTGTTTGCTCTTCCTCTTCCTTTCTGTTTGGAACATGGATGTGAGGCTCGGCGTGGCCCCCGGCATCTTGTAACCGCGTGCTGGAAAGTCTGAGGTCAAAGGCCGGCACTAAGATTGGCATCATCAAAAGATAGAAAAGGGCTTTATTTCATGCCAGCACGGAGCCTCTGTGGCACCTCTGGACTGTCTAGCTCCAACGTGCTTCATGAGGGAGACAACTCCTATACGTGTAAGCCACTGGCATGCATACAGGCTGGTGTTATTCCCCGTCACTGAGACCCCCCAGGGACACTTACATAGGAATCATCTGAGCATTTGGACGGAGAAAGAGGGTTCAATTTAGTGACCCACAGTTGTTGGCGGCACACCCCTGTCAGCTCAGGATCATCGGCTGGTTGGTTTGTCTGGTTTTTCCTAACAAGCCCCACTCTGGCTAGACGTGGCCAGGACCTGACAGGAGGAGGGAGAGGGGAATCCTGCTTATTCCCAGAGGGTGGAATCCACTCTTGGAAACCACGAAAAGTGCCGCAGGTTTCCCAACATGAGGTCCTCATGCATGACCCACCTGGTGCCATGGGCCATGGGAATCGGGGGGAACCTTCAGCTCAGACCTGCCCTTAGTCCCTTTCCCCGATATCCTAAGTAGAGCTGGGTCACATCCCTCCTCTTGGTTAGGCTGGGAAGGCAGGTGGATCTGGCTGTGCTCCGAGGCCAGGTGAGTTACCTTCTGGGCGTCACAGGAGGCAGCATCGTCTGAGGAGAAGAGCACAGCATCCTTGATGAAGTTGGAGAGGGCACGCAGGATGAAGGACACAAACAGGTGCATGTGGATGTAGTTGCGGGTGCAGTGGAGCCTCCTGGAGAGGGGACAGAATGCAGGGCCACAGGGCTCTGAGCCAGGAGGGGCTGGGGCTCCCCAGGCTTGCTGTTGACCCAGTGCATTGGGGAAACTCAGCCTCTGGACAGCACCTCTCTCCAGGTCGTACATCTTTCTGTTAGTGGAACCTGAGTGAGACCCACCTGTCCCAGGTGTGCAGATCCCTCTGTCTCGTGTATGATTTAAGAAAGGGGGTCGGGTGGGTAGAAGAGGACTTAAAAGCAGATAGTAGGGATGGTGAGAGTGCACAGCATGGTGAACGTACCGAGTGGATCCGAATGATACCTGTACCAGGGTCTGGATACAATATGATATCCTGCCCTGCCCTGCCACCATCCTTGCTTCCTCCATGGCTCAGACCAGGCAGGGCTGGTAGCATGTGGCACAGGAGAAACCTGGGCTACAGGGAGAAATTAGACAGAGGCTGTGCCACGTTTTAGCTCTCTGGCCCTGAGCAAACATGTTCTCTTCCCAGAGCCTGGGTTTCCCCTCTGCTGTGGGGGGGACAGAGGTTTGCTACTCGTTCCTCTACTTCTGGCCACAGCACCAGGCTTTCTTACCGGAACTCATGACAGCGCTGGGGAGGCTGGCCCTACCCTTTCTGACCCTCATGGCAAATGCAGCCAATCAAAACACTGCATCCCTTGGCCACAGTGATTGGCAGAATGCAGGGTTGGGCATGCGACCACTTTGGGCCTATGAGGACTCTCCTAGGAATTCTACTAGCACGAATGGCAAATGAAGGCTCTTTGGGCCTGATGTTTGTTGCAAAGTTGCCGGAATGTCCACCTGTGGCGTCTGGTGGCGGTCTCTGCCAGTCCTAAAGAAAGCCGCCTGGGGATGGGGTCAACACAGAACTGAGAGATCTATCGAGGCCTTTCTTACTATCTATCTATCTATCTATCTATCTATCTATCTATCTATCTATCTATCTATCTAGTATTTTTGTTACTGTTGAGAATCTATACAGCAAAAGCACACACCAATTCAAGTTTCTGCGAGCACAACTCAGTGACATGTACATTCTTCCAGGCGTGCCACCACCCGGACCCTCCTTTCCTGAGCTGCTCAGTTCCATTGACTTCCTGCCCACGGTTCCCATCTAATGTTGGTGTGGCTGTCGACCTCTGGTTCCCACAGGGATTGTTCTTAGAAGGCTACAATGCTCAAGGCGAGCATTCTTTACTAGGTAAGCTAACCTATCGTTTGGAGTTAAGAACACTTCAGGGGATAGTTGAGGTTCAAAATGTAAGGACTGTCTTAGGGCCATAGTTTCAGGGGTTCATCCAACCTCTCTGGTTTCAGAAAACATGGGGTCTATGAGAATTTGAATCTCTGTTCTGCATTTACCCCTTTGGGTAAACTTCCTCTATAGAATCTTTCATTAAAACATGTAAGACCAATAACTGAGCATTATCCAATTCTGGTTTGATGGCAAAAGGAAGCAATTGTTCATGGACGTACTTAGTTACACATTCCATTCCCAGCTCCTTTCCCTGACTCCTCTTCTTCCTCTGTTACTTCCGGTGAGTTCGAGGCTCACTGTGCTTCGGATGGCTGGTTGCACACTTTTTTTTTTTTAAACATTTTATTAGGGGCTCATACAACTGTCATCGCAATCCATACACACAGCAATTATGTAAAGCGCATTTGTACATCATTCTCAAAACATTTTCTCTCCACTTAAACCCCCGACATTAGGTCCTCATTTTTCCCCTCCCTCCCCGCTCCCCCCTCTCTCAAGAGCCCTTGATAGTTTATAAATGGGTATTTTGTCATATCTTGCCCTGTCCGACATCTCCCTTCACCCAATTTTTGGTTGTCTGTCCCCCAGGGAGGAGGTCACACACAGTTCCCTGTAATCGGTTCCCTCTTTCCTACCCATTCTCCCTTTACCCTCCCTGTTTCGCCACTCACACCACTGGTCCTGAAGGGATCATCCGCCCTGGATTCCCTGTATTTTTAATTCCTATCTGTACCAGTGTACCTCCTCTGGTCTAGCCAGACTTGCAAGGTCGAATTCGAGCCCAGGAATGATGCAGTGAACTAAGCGGCAGAAGCGATGCACTAAACAAGCTATTTGGCTAATGAAGCAGCGGACTCTTTCATGGAACCACGACCTCCAGACAGAGGAACCCAATCCCACGAGGGATGTGATTGTACAGAAACCGCCCCCGTCACTACTTTTTGGAGGTCTTTGTTACAAATTCTACTCCTGTCTTTGAGCCCCAACATCCAGCCAGGCCTGACGTCAGCTGTTCCTGGCTGGTCAGTTATGTGGGTCACGCCTGCCACGTTTGCTTTTCTGAAGTTGTTTCGAGGTGGCATTCTGTTCCATGCAACTTCAAATCTGGCAAACAGACTTATAAATCATTTCTAAAATGGGATGATACTTAGAGCACTGCCTGAAAATGAGCTCTCCTACAAGTAGAGCCACGGGACACCGTCAAGCTCAGTAAACACTATTCCTAATGATTTTCCTTCCTCCAGGGAAGCCGGTGGGGACAAACGTAAGGGGCCAGGCTTTGCTCCTGCTCACCCCCCAGTGTGCGGCCACGGAAAGTGGTTGGAAAGTTGAACAGCTGAAGGACAGAACAAATGAACAAAGTCGAGGAAGCATACATGTTTTGCTGCAGGCAATCTTCTCTACGGAATGAAAAAGAGACCCACCGTCTGCGCTGGAGGAGACTGGGGCGTGGTGAACGGGCAGTGGGTTCTCACCGGAAAGCACAGAGGATGCCGAGGGCAGCCAGGAGCATCACGAGGGAGGAGCTGTAGCCCACGGTGTACATGACCTTCAGCCTCAGCAGGTATGCATGCTGCAGAGAGAGGGGCAGGTGTCAGTCGGCCCTCCCACCTGGCTGGCTCTGCCCCTGCTGCCTCAGAGTGCACCTGCTTTAGGTAGCTTGAACCCCACCAGCCCGATGCTATTTGTTCATGTCCAAGGACACCAGTGTATAAGCTCCTAATCTTGGCTTTGAAAACTCTCCCAGGAATCCCTTGATGCCAATTCAGATGCCCACTCCATGTTTACAGCCTCCTGATCACACCCTGAATGGACACCTATACTTGACTATGTCCAAAGATGAGGTGCTCAAATAAGCAATTCACAGTATATTATTATTATTATATTTTCCCTCATGTGAAGCTAAACTCTATTACTTTTCATATCGTATAGATTGATTTTTAAAAATAGATCATCTGGACCCACTTCAACCAAGCTGAGTGTTAGATATAAGAGTTTCTGTTTTAAAAGGGGGCCCAAATCAGATGTTACATTTTAATGTACTATAATCATCTGTGTCTGTTGACCAGAGGATGTTCACACCCTTTGACTATGGTCAGAGGGAAATCACCTAAGGTTTAATACATGTATAGATCCTGAAAATGGATTTGGGGCTTCCACCGTCCAGTGAATCTAGAGAGAATCTACAGGGTGAATCTAGAGACAATTACTGGATTAATGGTTCCTTCGAGCCATGGTGGACAAGGTTGGGGGGAAATGGGGAGCTAATAGCAAGCAGTAGAAGAAAAAAAGAATGATTGTACCTTTCTTGATATGACTTAGCTATTGAATTGTATGATATTTGGATCATGTCCCAATAAAACTGTTAAAAAAGTTATGATCTTTTAAAAATAAACTTTTCATTTTAGAATAATTTAAAATGCATAAGCCAGTTATACATATAGTGGTGCGGTCTGTCATTTTTAATACAGTTATTATGTACATCCACCAATAACTCATCTTCTCAGTATTAACTAGTCCCCTTCTGTTCAATATCCTTTACATTTCGACCATTAGCACAATTAACCACCTGTTCCTACGTTCCAGTTTGCTAGTGTCCTTAAAGAAAACACCCAGATCTGAGCAGCTGAAAAACTCCAGATGTGTTCTTGACCATGAACAGCTAGACTAAGGCCATTACCTCCTGTGGTAGTTACATAATCTGGTGTCAGTTTGGGACTTGAGAGGTTTAAGATGAAGGCGTGGAGTCTAGTGTGTCAATCGGATCTTAGCCGAAGAGACCTCTGTGTGGGCATGGCCTTCTCCCAAGAATTCTGGGAATTTCTGGATTTCCTCCTTGGAGGTGGGAAACAGTCTCTCCTCTCTCTCTCTCTCTCTCTC